TTTTCTTAGAGCACACTTGTTATTCACTGTTTTGTATATAGTTTTGTATTAAGCCTAAATCTTTTCTTTAGACTAAAAGGGGAATTGTAGTGAGGTAGTCCTTCTGTAGCACTGACCACGCCCATTGGGGGGGTGGAGCGATGGGCGGAGAGGACCTGAGGAAGGAGGTCGGAGGGGGCCAGGGAAGGCGCTCTCTCTCTGGCTTGACTCGGACAGGAGAGGATCGGGTTGAATTTCCTGGTGTTCATCTGTCTAGGTTGTAAGTTATTTCTCCCTGAATAAACATCTATTCGGCCTATTTGTTTATCCTGACCCTTATTTACCGCAATACTTGGGGGACCTACTTAAAAGGGCAGTCCACCTAATCCTTTATACAGGATTTAATTGATATTCAAATATCAGTAATTGGCCAAACGATGCCTCTACCACCTCACAGTCCCTGCTCACAGACCTCCCTAAGACCTATCCCTGGCTCCACTGACATTACACAATGCCCTGCCTGTCCCCTAAGAGCCACTGGGTACCACCAGGGCCCAGCTTCTCTGGGATGAAGAAACAATCTTGGGCCACAGGAACACTGGGTGCTTAGCACCTTTCATACCCACAGGCTGGCCTGGACACTAGGTGGGCCAGACCTGCCTGGACATATACCTAGCCTGTGTTGAGATCCCAAGATGCATTGCTCTGCCCAGGACTTGCCTGGCTGGTGAGTGAACATGTAATCAAGCCCCAGGTCGGGTTCCCTCAGTTCTGAGTTCTGCTGCTTTCTCTACTACTGGTACCAGCCAGACACTTCAAGTCTCCGGCCATGAGCCTGTGGCCAGGTGGGCCCGAAGAAAGCAGCTGGACTGATACCTAAAATACACTCCCAAACCCTTCCAGGCAGCAGAAATATTCTCTGTGGCCCAGCACCTCTGGAACTAAAACTGAGCCCCTCAGGGGATAAAGCATGCCCCGTTCCTCCTCCCTGAAGCTCTCCTAACCATGAAATTCCAGGAGAAACAAAATACTACCAGAGCTGTCCCTGAGGCAGCTGGCTGAGGTATTTGGAGTGTGTGCGCTCCTGGGGTTTTATTAAGTCTCTGATGTTAGGGTGATCCCTGGGGAGTCAGCAGGTAGTCTCAGACACCATCTCCAAAGGTAAGGAGGAAAAAACAAAGTGGTGTCTGGTGACCCAAGATCTACAAGATGACTAGATACAGTGGGAAATTCACAAAATGCATGGCGTTTCCAAGGACCCTGGGACCCAAAGGTATGCTGGCCAGTGCAAGAAACTGTAGGCATTCTGAGGAGAAAGTGAATGAAGGGTCTACAACGGCTTCCAGCAAGCTGCAGGAAGACGGACAGGGCTGGGAGCCCTGGTGTGTCTCCAAAGGCGAGCCCAGCCGGAAGCCCTAGAGAGTGAGTAAGCGAAGATGAGGGATCCAGTGGAGGAAACCACTGAAGTGTGTGTGTGTGTGTGTGTGTGTGTGTGTGTGTGTGTGTGTGTGTGTGTAAGAGGGAACATGGCTAAGAAAAGGGAGAGTTTCCTTTGGGGGGATTACTTAACCCCCATTTCCCACAATGACATTCCCTAGGGTTACATTTATCTAGAGATTGGAAGGTGCCCCAAGTCTCACTTTTCACGGCAGACAGGGTCAGTTAACCTCATTACGAGCGTCAGAGGCTGGGGAGGTGGCTCAGTGAGACATAGGCACCTGCTACCCACACTGAATTCACTGCCTGGTACCTACGTGCTAGAAGGAAACGGCCAACTGTGTTTCCTCAACTACACACACACACACACACACACACACACACACACACACACACACACACACACACCGTGGCATGTACCCACCCCCTCACAGAAATTAATAAGTTTCTTTAAAGACTTATTTTATATTTAATAATATGTATATGTGTACAGGTGACCACAGAGGCCAGAGGTTTTCGATCCCCTGGAGTTAGTTATTGATCTATCTGTCCTATGTAGGTTCTGGGAACTGAACTTGGGTCCCCTGAAAGATCATCTCTCCAACCCCCACCTCCTTCTAAAAGTTGTTTTTATTATGCATTTATTTTGGGAAACAAATCTGCGAGCATCCCTTGGCCTCAATTTCCCAGTCAGTAAAATGGGGATAAGAACTTCAGGTCATATAAAATTATTCATGTGACTGTGTGGTTTAAAAAGCCTAGGCATATATGAAGACATGGCAATAGTTAGGATTAACATTTGGTTGATCCTTGGTAGGGGTCATCACGGTTCTAAGCAACTGGGATGCATCAATTCATCTTTCCCTTTACCACAGTCTACGGGGTAGATGCCATTATCAACCCATTTTCCAGATGAGGAAACTGGGACACAAAAAGTTACTACAGCTGGTACCCGACAGAGCTGAGGTTTCCAAGGGTGAATGGAGACAGTTGGACTGTGAGACACGGGACTAAGGAGGTACTGGTACCCAAGCATGCCCTCCAGTGCCACCTCCAATCCTACGTCCCTCAAAGCATCAGGTTAAAGCCACTTCTTTAAGGGGCCTCTGCTGACTCAGGTTTCATACAGTGACATGGTAGACAGGATCGTGCCCTGCTTCAGGCCACTCTTGTGTAGCCCTGGCCATTCTGGAACTCACTCTGTAGTCCAGGCTGCTCTTGAACTCAGAGATCCACCTGCCTTGCCTCCCGAGCGCAGGGATTAAAGGTGTGCGCCATCATGGCCAGCTTTAAATCGTTCTAATGGTAGAAATGGTCTTGTCTCTCACTATTTCAAGGGTTCCTCAGGTGAAAAATAGTTCAAGTGGCTAGAACACCCTCACCCTATCCCCTCAGCTTAATATAGACAGCTCCCTCCTAAGTGTGGCTGATGGGTGACAAACTCTATCCTTGTAGCATGGGCCAGGGACTGAGTGGGAGAAGCAGCCCCATTCTTCCTGAGCAAATAGGAAGCTTCAGGTCCCAGGGCCAGATCCAGTATCCACATGACACTGATGACCTCACGCCCCTCTGGGACACTTCTATCCATAGCTAGCATCCCAGCTAGACAGCCATGCCCTAGGTGGGTGCAGCACCCAGACTGTTGGAAGAATCTAAGGTTATTGCAGGCCCAGATTTTGAGCACCCCAACTGCCAGCAGTGGGGAAGCTGTGCTCCGCCCCCAACGATGGAGGCAGGGGTGACACCCACTCCCCATGCCTAGTTCTTGTCTTCCCAACAGCTCTGGCCATTCTTCCTGGGGCTGCTTACTTCCCTCCAAGTCTAGCAAAGACGCTGACTTTGAGGGTATGGTGAGGAATGCTCTTCAGAGGGAAATCACTCTCCATGTGAGGCCCTCTCCCACCTGTTTTCAATCCCGGCAGGTACTGACCACAGGCTACGAGTGTCTAACTGGCAACTGTAACCCTGGAGGCTGGCCTGTGAGGGTCCAGGGCCAGCATTACCCTAGTGGGAAGATCACTGTGAAGCCACCGTCCCGAGAACCAGGTGGACCTACTGGCTTGAGGACCTACAAACCAGGGGTCAGTGTGGCCCTGGTGGTTCAGGGCAGAGCCCTGGATTCACGCCACTTTCCTGGGCAGCTCATTGACCTCTCTGAGTCCCCCATGAGAGATGAAAACACAGTTCTCAGTAGGACGAGATGTACGCAATGACGATAAGGAAGCATGGCTGTAATTACGTTATAGGCCTCTACTCAGACTTTAGACATCCCAGTCATAGCAGATCATGGCTTACCTGAGACATTTTCCTCTAAATTACACCTGGTTGACTGCACGAAACAGGTTCCAAATGGTGCTACAGCGACTGGCCAGACTGAGCTGGACGCAAATCTGCCCGCTCGCAGGGTGCCAAGGAGCGCACAGTAGCATAAGGCCGGGGGAGGTCAACACTACGGGAGCTTGCTCAGTAAAAAGGAGGAACAACTGCACTTGTGATTAGCAATCCTTTCCCAGGAGAACTTAAGTCTCTCAGCAGTTCGGATTGGTTTTTAGTTTATGATACTTTTTAACTTAAAAAAAAAATATATATATATATATATACACATACACACACATATACATATATGTGCTTTGTGGTGGTGGCACAGACCTTTAATCCCAGCACCTGGGAAGCAGAGGCAGGCAGACCTCTGAGTTCTAAGCCAGCTTGGTCTACAGAATGAGTTCCAGAACACAGAGAAACCCTGTCTCAAAAAACAAAACAAAACAAAACAAAACAAAAAAAAACCAATATGTGTATGAGTGTTCTGTTTGTGTGGACATCTGTGTACCACGTGTCTGACTTGTGTCTGAGGAGGCTGGCAGATGGCTTTGGATCCCCTGGAAGTGGAGTTACAGACAGTTGTGAGCTGCCATGTGGGTGCTGGGAATTGAACTCAGGACCTCTGGAAGAGCAGCCAGTGCTCTTAACCACCTGAGAGGGAATCTCATGTAGCCCAGGCTGGACTTGAACTCACTATGTAGCTGAGGATGCCCTTCAACTTCTATTACATTTTCATTTTGGGTGCACGGGGGTGGGGGTGGGATAGGGGGTCACATGAGGTCAGAGGACAACTTGTAGAAATTGGTTCTCTGCCTTCCACCATGTGGGTCCCTCTGGGAATCCAACTCCAGTTGTCAGCCTTGGTGTCAAGGGTCTTTATCAAAGTCGCCTCACTGGCCCAGAGGCCCTTGAACTACTAACCCTGTGTCTTTCTTTCTATGTAGCTCAGGCTGGCCTCAAAGTGGTAATAAGGCCCAGGTTGGCCTCCGACTCTTGATGCCCTGCCTCTGCCTGCCTTTGGAACCCTGGGATTACGGGGACGCAACCTGTCCTCTCAGAGTCGTCTATGAAGAAGATGCCAAGTCGCAGAGCCTCAGAAACTCCCCAGAGCTACAAACCAAGGGCTGGCAAGGGTGATTCTGAAGCCAGTTGGAGGACAGTGACTTTCAAAAGCCAAGGTTATGAACCCCTGGCCTCTTCCTGGCTTGGGGTGGAGCTTCTCCCAGTGATATACCCCACCCCACAGGGCCACAGGAGCTTACCTGGGAGGAAGGGGATGATCCTTTGCTTGGGATCCTTCTGGCCACCTTCAATAGGAAATTTATCCAGAAGCTGCATCTGGGGAGCCAGACAGACAGACAGACAGGCTTGAGAACACTGAACAGCATCAGCATCCCACCACAGCTGCACTGTGCTCCCATGAATGAGTGACGCCTGAAATCCCTCATTTCACAGCCCATTAACAAACCACATGGGGCTTAAGAGGGAGAAGGCCAGAGCTCTCCATGCATCAAAGAGGGTGTCTGAACCAACTCAGGAAGGGGGAGGGGTCTAGAGACACTTGAGGGCGAGGCTAGGCCGAGGACCAGCAGGCTTGGGGACCAGCAGGCTTGTAGGCCAGACTGGGTTACCAGACAATCCTCTGGGCCTAGTTCCTTCTTCATTTGTCTGTTGAGTGAATCCTTCAGCCACCTGCAGCCCAAACCTTGCTGGGCCAGGAATGGAGGAGGCTCCACCCGATACTTCAGACAGACCACCCACCTTCCAGAATAAAACCACACCTATGGCATTGCCCCGCGGCTGGGGGACCCTTCCTCTGCTTCTTTCTTCCCACCCTGAGCTCACCCCTGCTTTTCCAGGGAGGAACCCTCTGGAGTAAGTTTCCAGGGTCCTGCAGTAACAGCTGTTTCTTCTTTTGCTATTCTGGGCTGAAATTCTGTGTGAACTGAAAAAACACACAGGAAGCAGGACAAGGCCAGGGTCCCTGTGTGCAGTTGATGCTGAGTGGCTACAGCCAGGATGTCTGCTGGGTGTCCCAGCTGTGTCCTTGGGCCAGGCAAGGAGCCTTCCTCAGGCACCTCCTTGACAGGATGAGAGTTTGTCTGTCACACGATTCCTAATGTCCATTCATTCCTCCCAGGCTGCTGATACTCACTGATCTTGGATTAAGGGCACTGGACACTAAAGGAAAAAGTTCTTGGCTTCAGGGTGTTTATATTCTGGGGAAGGAAGACAATAAACAAATTGGTCCTATGTCAGGGAAGGTCCATTGTTGTAAAGAAGATATCAGTTGAGGTGTCTAAGTAAGACTGCGCGCGTGTGTGTGTGTGTGTGTGTGTGTGTGTGTGTGTGTGTGTGTGCGCGCGCGCGCGCGCGTGCGTGCAAGAGTGTCTATCCATTCATCTATCCAGATCTAACACATGGATTTAGGACTGTCTTTCAAGTAATCACCACTTAATCTTATATAGCATTTAGAACCCACATAGGAAGGGTTAGGTGGATTCCATTCACAACAAAGATTGTACCATAATCAACTTTCACTTCCCCAAATAGATACTTAGCAAAAGCTGGCTCATGAGTTTTAAGCGTGCTAACTTCAACTCTCAAACATTTAATAATTCCTTCTTGCTACATTTAAATACAACAGTTGGGCTGTAATGTTATAAACTTGTACTTGGGAGTTCTGTAATACATTTTGAAATAGATGCTGCTGGCTAGAACACTGGCTTCCCTCCCCTGTATTCTATTTTTTTTTTTTTAACATTTCATTTCTGTACTATAGCAGTAACTCTTGCTCACTGAAGGGAAACTAAAAATTACAAAAGCAATGGGGGTGGGGGGTCAGGAAGGTGAAGGAAGCTACATAACATGGTAGTCTCAGCTGGCGGGAGGCTGAGACAGGAGGATCAAGAGTCTAGACCAGTCCAGACCGTATAATGCCCAGCCTCACTCTATAACAAGACTGTGTCTTAGAAAAACACAAATGAACAACCAAAAGTAAAAAAAGCTTTTAAAAAGGCAAGAGAATCACTTATACCCAGTTCCCCTAAAACCAACACTTACACTCTGGCAGACACACACCCTTTCTAAGCGGTCTTCCATGTGCATCACTGCAGTGACCTCACGGTCCTCTTACGCCACGCGCTGAACATGTTTCCCGTATAAATGAATACGGACACGTTAGCATTGTTTTGCAGTGTTGGGGCCTTGCAGGTGCTAAGCAAGCGCGTTATCACTGAGGTACATCCCCAGTCCTATGTCAATATCAACACTTTCTTTTTTTTTTTTTTAAAAAAAAGATATGGTCTCACTATATAGCCCAGGCTATCCAGCCTGCCAAGTGCTAAGATTACAAGTGTGCACCACCAAGCCTGGCCATATTGCCATTTTTAAATATGTCAGTGTCTGCACGGCCCACAGCTCATTTACCCATCACCCTGTTGCTGACTCTTCATGTTGTTTCTGACTTGTCACTGCTATCTATATGCGCATTACAATGAACATCTTAGGACCACGTTTCTCTCGATGTTTCCTTAAGAATAACACTTTCTTTTCAATTTTATCCTATGCATATTTATAAATGTATGTTTTCCAAAATATTTAGGATAGGTAACACCATGCATAGGCCAGGCCTGGGGCCTCCAAGTATTGGCTCCATAAGGTGTCTGAAGGGACAGCATTGAGAGACCTGAGGACAAAGGAAGGCCCAGCCAGGCACCCAGAGGCGGAGTGATATGCTTTTCTGAACTGACTCTCTCTGGAACCAGGGTGTGTCTGGGCCATGACAAGCTGAGAGGCCTTGCCCAAATGGCTGATCACCGAGGATCTTGAGGAGTCTCGATATAGAGCAAGACTGGCCATTATACGGCCCAACCTGACCTTGGACTCTTGGTAGTCCTGTGATCTGAGATCACAAGGGTGCGCCACCAGCCTCCGTGTGTTGAGATCACAAGCTCTGAGCCACCTTTCCCAACAAAAATACTTTAAATTTTAACTTTGCCTGTTTCCTTGCACATTTTCCCCCGAGATAGGGTTTCTCAGTCATTTTGTAGACCAGACTGGCCTTGAACTCACAGAGATCCTCCTGCCTCTGCCTCCCGAGCGCTGGGAGTGCGCCACCACCACCCAGCTACTTTCACATTTCAAAACGGCTACCAGAAATCGCTTTTATTACATGTGTAGCTCACACTGCATTTCTGTTAAACAGCACCGTGGCTCTCAAAAGTGCAGTCTGGGCTGAGGAGGCGGCTCTGCTCTGGGGAAAGTGCTCCCCAGCTGCTGAAGAGAAAGAAGGCTTCTGGGTGAGGGTGACGTATCTTGACAATGACAGTCAAGTCCCTGCTGCCTTCCCAGAGGAAGCACAGTCTGAATCCCACAGTGGCCTCTGTGCCTCCTGGGGATGCAGGGTCTCCTGACAGCCTGGCAAGTGTGGTGAGGCAAGTGTGGTAACAGTTCCCTCTAGACGCTCCTGGGGGTGAGGGGACCTCGCAGGAGCCCGCTGCCTCCCTCTTCCTATACGGTGTCCCTAGTGTATACCCCCGTTAGCCAGCCACTCTCCATCCCAGCCAAGATGAAACCATCTGCGGAGTCCTGGGTCAACAGGCTTTCCCCAGAGCTGTGAGCCCTCATCGGGCTCACTCCATACTGGCAGCCCTCAGGTACAGCTTAGGCCCCAGTCACCTTACCCACAAGTTAGCAGGCAGGAGTCCTACAGCCCACAGCCACAGAACACAAAGCCAGGCTAAGCAGCTGCCAGCGATACTTTCTCTGCCCACAGGCCGCCTTTCAAAGAAATCAAAAGCCCTGGCCATGACTCCAGAGCAGAAACCAAGTAGAGGCAGCCTAACGGAGCTGAGGCAGCAGCATGTGTGAACCCGCAGCTCTGGGTCTTAAGGGCTACACAGTTAAAGCCCTAAGATGGCTGGATGGTGGGCGGTGTGTCCGTGCTGGATACCCAATGCTGATGTGAGTAGTGGGCAAGCCGCAGTGGCCGATGAGGAAGGCTGGGTTCTACAGAGAGAAGCATAACCTGAGGGAAGACCTGGACAGACTTTCGTGAGGAGGAAGCCTAGGAGCATGGACAGTAAGGAGGGTTTCGCCCATCATGGAGTTCCAGTGTGACCACGTTTTCAGGCAAATAGAAGGCTCTGTCACTCTCGAAGGCCCTGAGTTGGGATGGGGAAAAAGCAGGTCTCATTGCCGAGGCCGTTCTTGGAGTGAGTGGCGCATGCGGCTAAGGCAGTCTTTGCAAGCACATCATGGCCCCTTCAGCTGTTTATATAAGGGGTGGGTCGTGAGAGATACAGGACAGCGTGGTTCCAGGAGCTGGCTCAGCCCGAGAAAGCTGATTCCATTGCTCTCCCAGGGCAGGGCTCTGCAGCAATAAACTCTGGGGAGAACAGAGGTGGGCCCCACCCAACTGGGCACATCTGTAACCCAAGAGGCCAACAGCTCGCCTGCTGAGCAGGAGAAGTTTCCAGGGACTGTACCACTGGACTCCATGCAGTGTTTGAACCTTAATCCTTTATACTCAGGACCATTGTCTACCTAGGGAACACAAAAGAACATTGCTGGAAGCTACTGAGAGAGATCGAGTGTGTGTGTGTGTGTGTGTGTGTGTGTGTGTGTGTGTGTGTTTCTCTATGAAGCCATATCTATGAGATAGAGTGTGTGTGTTTATATGTGTGTGTGTGTGTCTATGGAGCCCTACAAATTTCCCTTAAAAAAAAGAGAAGCACCCAGTTTGCAGGACCACAAGTGAGCAAGAAAACCTCAATAGTTCATTTGTCCTGTGGCCTTGGCAGCTCCTGTGCTAATGCTGGGGTCATGTCCGTGTGCATCACAGAGGCAGTGACAGGAAATGCAAGATAGAGTTGCAGCTCACACTTGTAACCCCAGCACTCTAGAAGTTGAGGTAGGAAATTTTGAGTTCAAGGCCAGCCTAGGCTACATACCCAGGAACTATCTCAAAAACCCCCAGAGCAATGAAATAAAACACTATTAAGCACAGCTTTTCTCCAGTGTCCTCCCGCTCTCGGTTCCTGGGTGGCCTTCCAAGTGAGACGTACTCCCCGAGCCCCTCAGGACGGACATCACAGCCAAAGATCACCACTTGCTTACTGTGAATCCCAACAGAGCTTCCAATTTGTTTACTGTTGACTGATTGACACAGCCTTCTGTGATTTACACCTGGTGCCCATCTTCGAGGCAGGCTTTTGTGGAGGCCAGGCTGGCCTGAACCCACCGTGCAGCTGAGGGTGACCTTGAACTTCTGACCCCCCTGCCTCCACCTGCTGGGATTACAAGCATGCTTCACCACACCACTTATGTGGTACTTG